TGTTTTAAACCAAATTTCTTCACATGGAAACCCATTCAAGACATCCCATCAAAGCTATTCGGATAAAATGGATGCTCTCTGCCATCTTCTGGCAGAGAGCAAGTTATTTTTTGAAAAGAAGCAAGATAAAATTCAAGCTCGGATTTTTTTGGAAGTAACCACTATTCGATTATTTTCCTCGATGAGTTCTACAATAAAGTATGCTTACCTGTCCGGAGAACTTTTGTTTTTGCTGCAAAATAAGACCTAAAAGAAAATTTCTGCGTTCAAAGAATTATTGTCCGCAAATTGTAACGCGGCCATTTTTGGACCTTTTTTAGAAAAAGATTTTCACAATTTTTAGAATACATGTTCTCCAGAAATCGCAGCGTGTATGTTGTTGCCTCTTGAAGAGCTCTATCACCGCATGCAATCCAACCATTTTTTCATCTTTGTTTTCCATCTGAAAATGAGCGATGATAGAAGGAAGGCGACTTGTCCGCAACTTTTTGGCGGTCACTGTATGTTTTCAAAAGACATTATGAGCTAGACAGGCACATCTTTTTGGGACACCCTGTAAGATGAATGAGCCTATTAGCCACTTTGCGGGCGAAGCCAGGCATGGCAACTAACTAACTTATAAGATCAAAAGATCGAGTGATCGTTTTCAACTGCCAGTCTCGAGTGCTTGTATCGCATGGTTTTCCTTCAAAGCAAAGTCAGGCAAAAGCGCTGGGCGATGGGCTGGGAACAATGATTTCTCAGATAGGATGAGGCGAATTTTGATTTAGAGCCTGATGGTCAGCATATTTAACTTCTGCAAGGTCAGCTTTTTCAGCGACTCAAGAGGAGCAACCAATTACACCAGAACATTGTACAGCTAGTTGTTTGAGGCGTTGGTGCTGCATCATCGAAACATTAGCCTAAGGCTTCTATCAAATTACAGATTTTTGATAATGACAGTTTTCTGAATAAGAACTAGCGTATACAAAGGAAGCAAAAAATAAACAAGAAGTAGCACACAGAGAAACCTCGAAAACGAGGTGTAGGCGTGTTGGCTATTGTATGCTCTATTTATAATAATTAACTGGTACCATACCATGAGACAGAATAGTTCTGTTTGCTCTTTACTATTTGTGTTCACAGTCATATGTACTAAAACGCCTGTACAAACTCTTCAGAACTACTATAGTGCAAGTTTGGAGCCAATCCGTGAGCCGATGCACATTGGGAATCTGGCGCATGTATCCTCATACTCACCATAGATTTTTTTCACAAAAAAGTATGCTAATCTTTTTGCAGTAAGCGAAAGCTCAGCTTCTCATTACGAACATACAACCAACATGTTACGGATTTGATGCAGGTTTTTTGGATCTTGACTTCAAATCACAATAACTTCAAGCCAAATTAGTATTTCGTGCAATAACAACAGTTGCGATTAACAAGCCTTTTGCAACCTAGTTTACGTTTTTAAATAGTGGAAGAGAGAAGTGCTGCCAAAATTTTAGACATCGCGTTTTTCATCGTGAATCAACTCCACGGATCACCACAAATGCGAAGCAAGTCGTAAGCTCAAACACCTAATGAAAAATCTTTGAGCTTTGCTCTTTGTGCTCACAGCTTGGGCGAAAAACCCTCTTTGAAGGTAAAGTTAATGGGTCAGGCACAACCCCTCAAAGGGTCAAGGCTGCCTGAGCTTTTGTAGTCTTATGCCTGACCCCTTTGACTTTTTTCAAAATAAAGAAATCGCTCTATTCCTGGCATACAGACTTCAAAAATTCAAAATTTCTTAAGGACATGGTTTTTTCTCCAGAATGTCATAGTCTGAGGTTCCGGAGATGAAGAGGAGGAAGATGGTGCCGTTTGGGGCCTACATCGAAAGTCTTGGCCTGACCTCTTACTCAGCTCTGCTCGTAACCCGTGTAGAAAAATAAAGAAACTCTGATTTTGATGGTTTCTTGCTCTTGAACCCTTTTTTTCTAAAGGAAACTTACGAGATCAAGTTCCATGTTCTCTTTACGATGAGACTGCGCATTTGATGTCGATGTCTTCACGTAATGTTTATGCCAGATTAAACTGGGTATCCTTGACCCCACCTTTTAAATATATCGGCCCGTAGTAAACTACCGTCAAGGCATCTCCCCTGAGGCGGACCGGAGTCGATATCTTGGCGCCTCAGTCCAGCATCCGGCGAGCTATTTATCTGGATGCAGATCGCTTCCTGGACATTGTAATCAAGTGCGTTCTCGAAAAAACAGCTACTTGATTCGATTTGGGTAAATGGGTAAGCCATTGGAATTACACGCGCGCGGCCGTGGTTCGACTCCGCCTAACGACACAACTTTTGCTGCATCGCCGGGCAATCTTTGATAGCGGCCACTATCCAATCGATGATGACCGCTATCAAGGATTTCGCCTAGCAAAGGCAAAGATAAAACAAAAAACATTTCGTTACGAAAATTTTGCGACAAAACGAAATGGTTGCAACGTGAATTCAATGGAATGAACAAATGAGTCCTCGTTTTGGACAGCTTCAAAAAAACCAGTAAAGTTTACAAAAAGAGAAGAGTTTGTTTTTTTCTGTCTTCCTCGCCAAAATCAGCTGTTCATCGATCCTCTCGTTTTCGGGCGCGGTTGTGCAATTTTGCGCCGATTTTGTCCGCAGTGTTAGGCAAATTGCTATGTATCGTAAGTTACTCAGGAGCAACTTACAAAGATTTTCTCTGTGTTTCCTCTTTAGCACACTATTTCTGGACATCATCGCTCATGTCATCTCCCATGACCGAGCTTTACTACGGGCCATCGTCTTTGGAATGTCATAATCTGAGGTTCCGGAGGTGAAGAGAAGGAAGTCTTTTGGAAGTCTCGAAGTAGACTGCGATCTTCTTCATCTACCACAATCGGCCAAATGCCTCATTTAAACGCCACTTCGTCCAGGATTGTTCCTTGCGACGTATGACAAACATATTGATAGCATAGCGAATTAGATCCATCGCGATGATACTAGGAAATTAGTATTTACGCAGCAATAGCGTACGACACTAAGCGTTACATGCATGATGTCTATATGTGCAGCTGCATATCGATAGAAAAAGCAGGAGATTACAAAAGTACATTTTTTGTTGTTCAAGATAGGTTGGTAAAGATCCATGCACCTTCCATTCTTCTACCAATTCTGTTTGACATCATTCACCATTACTACGCGCTTTAATCTTATGCCTTTCCAACGGCTATGCGTTGTTTCCTGGCATTTTATCTGGCACATGGATTCTGTGCTCCGATCTCTAGCCTGCCCGCAGGCGGGAATTCAAATCGCAATTCTTGTAAGAGGAAAATAACAAAATAGGCTCGTTTTCAATGCACAAGTAACGATATGGCACCAAATTTGCTGTGTAGTTGGAGGACCATGAGCACAAAAAAGTATGAAGAATTATGAGAAACTTATGTGAATTTAAAAAATGGTAAGTGTTTTTCGAAATTAGGTGGCTCCCTGCTTCCCTTCACATAATTTCCCGGATTTCTTTACATAAATGTGGACTAGATCGAGAGTATTACTATATGTTCAAATCTGCTTCCAAAACCCCAAGGCACCGCTTCGATACAGCCCCAAATAGGGTTCACAGCGTTATGATCGGCCTCGGAAAGCGCTCCAATCGCAATCGGTTATTGTAAATTGTAAAGTTTCGCAGCTGACTAATAAATGAGTAGTATCTTAGATATATGAACGTCAAAGTTTGTGCAAATCTTGACCCTATATTTTTATAGATTCCTTTGCGGATGAACCCATTGAGCTGAAACCTTGATGACCCGGGCTGGACCAGGAAAGCCAGGTAGTACTACTATAATAAGCGCTGAGGCCGCCCATCTTAATATTTGTGCATATCTGTTTGTTAGGGACTTAGCTTTAGCTTTAAGAGTGGAGCTTGGAGCTTGGGCTTTAAGAGTTTGAAGTAAGTTAGCTGCATGTTTCGGCCCAGCATCGAGCCGAACGTGGCTCTATACGGCCAAATTTTCACTTTCAAGCATAATTTCTTAGTCAAATATTGGCCTTTAATGGCTTATAGCTTCGTCCAGAAAAGCGATAAGCAGATAAAGAAGACAGATTTAGAATCATCGCTTCATGCTGCAATTAAGGGTGTGCAGCTTGTCTAGATTAGCCACTTCGATATTTGACCATTCCCTTGTTAGGATTTACAGAGTGATCAACAGATTGAAAAAAATTTTCGGACACTTTAATTTATTCTTATAAAGTATACAGTCATGACAGTAGGATGTGAAAATTCTTGACGAATTCGGCAAAGTCTGCGATTTATCCGAGATTTTTCGCAATCTAAAGTCGTTATTGTATTCAGCTACAAGAGCTGGAACTACAAGAATAATGCGTTCAAAGAAAAGCTTAAGCTTCTGAAAACATCAGCACTCTCGATGTCAAAGATTAAACGATCTTCATATCAAAAAAAGAAATGGGTATCATGTAAAAACTCGAGTTTTAGAAATTTGGTCGAAATTAACACAATAAATTACTGTTCGAAATTAATCATCATATAGATTTTATCAAACGGTTCAATAAGCAGCTTCACATCATGGTCTTAGTAAGCAGATGACAAGATTTTGCTAGCGCTGGTATAAGACGTCCGCGCAGGGCGCGGAGAATGCGCAAAATGGGTACTGCGCGTCACTCCTCTTTTCTCGTGCACTCTCGCTGCTTGTTTTCTCTGCGCCCCTTCCACTCATGAACTATCTCCGATGGACGCGACAGCGTTGCTTTTCGCGCACGGCACGGACGGTCTATATGCATTATAAATGCGCAAAAAAGAATGGGGTCTGAAGTGTTGTGCAGTTGGGAGCCCCAATATGTAGAATAGAGCATGCTAAACATGGTGTACATTACGAACTGCTTGTCGTAGTTAGCATGTCAATTTCGAAGTAAAGTAAGGGCAACTCAGTACTACTCGGCATACTCGATGCAACAAAATTTATTCAAAAAATCTGCAATCAGTAAGTAATTTAAGTTGTAATTTGGGCCGTTGTTTATTGTAACTTCATCCTATCTTGCATATCACTTATTGCTTTTCTGCTTCTCCAAAGTGAACACATTAATGACAAAACCAGCGCAGATACTGAGAATGGCTCCCTGAAAATGAAGTTAGGTGTTTGAACATTTCTTTTTTTGCTTTGAGGTTTCTCTATTCGCGCAAAAGTTCGAAACAAATGCTCATTCAAAGGTTCATACATTTATGACCTAAATCAGAAGTATACCAAGTGAGTCCCGAATTTTTGTATGTATCCTATTACAGCTTCTCCTTATCATTAACGGTCCCAGAACTTCTTCAAAGGAAGAGGGGAGCGGCCAAATTTTTGCTAATAAAAATTTACACGTCAATATGACGTGAACTCTAAAAATTTCATTGATTACCCACAAGCAGAAACATGTTCTTACTTGTCTAGCGCATATAGACCATACAAAATATTTTGCGACCAATGCTTAGACCTCCCTCCCCCCCCCCCCCCCGTAATGCCGTTGCTGCCCATATAAAGGTAGATTCTAAAAAGTTTCTACCTTGTGCGATTCTTTGGCGGGTGCGCTCCAGATGCTAATCATTTTTTGTTTCTTTCCAATCCAGCATATTCCATTTTCAAGAGGATTACGAGAACGGATGATCAGCTTCACCTGATCATGTAATTTTGTTAGAGTGTTCATCATACAAAACAACTCACCCCTACATCGCGGCATATTCTGTTGATAGCACCGACTCCAAAAACAGAGATATTATCTTCTAAACAGATATAACATAGACTGCCGTAGACTGCTAGATAAAGAGATTACCTTCACTTTCGCGATACATATCTATTTTAGTAGTGGGTTGGCCAAAGATCAGTTGTTTGGCCAGTGGTGTTATTTCCGCAAGAGAAAACGGTCGCTTGACAGACTCTATGCAGTCGTAGTTGGTCAACTGCAAAAATAAAGCTGAACTTACAATATATCAAAAAGGAAGTGTGAGGATAGCAATTTGGAATAAAAGTTTTGTTGTACCTTTTTCAAAATCTCGTCTCCTCTTGATTTCTCAACGGATTTGTAGTTTAATTAGAAATTATGCATAGCTCGTAGCTCGCTTCCCATCATGTACATATTTTGTAGATAGAAACATCAGAAGAGAACCACTCAAATTTTGACTTTTCTGCGTTTGCTCATAACAAACCCAAAAGCGTCAAAAAGAATTGGAGCATTTAGAATTACAGGTTTCTTTGACCTGTTTCTTCTCACTAAGCAAAGCTTGTGCTGATTGTATCGCAAAAAGATATGATGTTTGAGCAAGTAGCACAACGCACATGTGATTTTTGGCATTTTCATCGAAAAATATGTTTTTATGAAGACATCTAATCAGCACGAACTGTTCAATCAAAACAGATCAGAAAACCTATAATACTGACTACTCCGGAATTTTATTGCAAGTTTTAGACTTTTTATGAACAAACACTGCAAACAAAATTTGAGTGTTTTAATTCTATCGCTTCTATCTGTCAATGTATGCGTATTACGATGCGAGCTGCATGCAGTTATAAAGCGCATGATTTCTTCTTTCAGATAAAAGTAGACGAATACAAATCTGCTCAAAAATCAAGGTGCACAAATTTTCGAAAATGGTGGGACAGTACTTTTGCTCCAATCTCATGCATAGAATCCAGAAAAGATTTAGATCTTTCAAATTTTTAAAAAGTTCTTTTACCAAGAAGGCAGGTTTGAAGTCAACGACGGTAAATGAAAACGTTTAAAAATTGTGACAACCTGGCTTGATTAGCTACATAAATTCTGGTGTAATCACAGAACAAATATTAGGTTGGTTCATAATTATTGCACGTTTTGAATTTCAACCGCAATAAGTCATACACTTTTCATTCTTATATAGGCTTCAAAGTACCGTTGGATAGAGCAAAGCAAGCTCTACAAGATGGCTCTCATGTCTTTGCGCCATGCTCGATCCACGGAGAGTTCGAACTCAAAATCTAAAGATTTCCAAATGCCCAAAAAATCGAAAAAAAATCAGATCTTCGTCCAAATAATTTCTACGGACCTCCCACTCGCTCACATCAATACTATCGATATCTGATATCCATATGTGCGATTGCCGTATTTTTTCGTTGACTAGAAATTGAGAAAACGAAAATTTCCCTGATTTTCTCAAAGCAATGCTGAGCGGTTTTTGCATATGTAGTTCTATACTACTAGCCAAGGTAAGCATAATTGTAAATTTTCAGCCTATTTCGAACGGTACTTTTCGAGAAATGTCGATTTTAGCACTGAAACTGCAACGAAAAAATCCGAATTCGTTATTTTTCGAAAACTACCGCTTGGAATGGGCTGAAAATCTACAGTTATACTTACCTAGGCTTGTAGTATAGAACTACATACGCAAAAACGGCTCAGCATTGCTTTAAGAAAATCAGGGAAATTTTCGTTATCTCAATTTCTAGTCATGGGAAAAATACGGCAATCGTACATATGGATATCAGATATCGATAGTATTGATGTGAGCGAGTGGGAGGTCCGTGGAAATTATTTGGGCGAAGATCTGATTTTTTTCGATTTTTTGGGCATTTGGAAATCTTTAGATTTTGAGTTCGAACTCTCCGTGGATCGAGCATGGCGCAAAGACATGAGAGCCATCTTGTAGAGCTTGCTTTGCTCTATCCAATGGTACTTTGAAATCTATATAAGAAAGAAAAGTGTATGACTTATTGCGGTTGAAATTCAAAACGTGCAATAATTATGAACCAACCTAATATAAAACATTTGAAGGCATGACAACGAAGGTCATAAAGTTTTGAGCTGCTATTATTATTTTATTGCTGTAGAGCAAAAGGATTTTTAGGATTCCCAAGAGCAAAAGGATTTTTCGAATTCCCAAGATTTACCCTTCTGCTGTACCTGCACGTCAAATTTCTGAAAAATTACAACCTTGCTGCTAAAATTTGTGAATCTCGGTTAACAATATACATGTAGAATTTTTGTCTTGCAACTTGAACCCCACTCGCTTTTCAGCTGCAGAAGTTTGCAGGAAAGTTTGAATAAGTTATACCACCTACTTTGTTAAATGAAATTAGCGTTATTCGTTTAGAGGTCGTGCTGCACATTATAAAAATTTGCGCATTTGAAGAAGTTGTTCGAGAGAATTTGCACAGCTTAACCATTTAGTATGCGTATCAAAAAATATCAGATCTTTTCTCTTTCGTAAATGATCTAAGGGATAAAAGAAATATGTAATGCCTCTCAACACATCCCACCTCGTGTGACAATCCGCTATGCACAGCAAGAATCTGTTCAGAAATTCGGGCAGCAAGTGGAAGACTGTTGCAGAGACGCGTCGCTGCTCTGAATCACTTCTGAAAGTCCGCAGGGACACCATTGTTTCTGGCATACTCACGATTGAATAGCAGAATCATTTCGTTTCCGAAATCTTGGGTGGAATTTTATAGGTAGAGTTTCTCCCATCCCTCGAAGAAGGAACACGTCGTGCGGAAATCGAACCTGGAACTTCGTCTTGAAGTTTACAGGTTAGTAATGAGTTTGAACTACTATATAAGGCCTGTGTTACATTCGAAGTATGCATATCGAGAATCAAGTTTCTCTTGAAGAAAACTCATCTTCATTGCTGCAATAAAAGCTAGACAATCAAGAGATCCAGGCTCTTCTCTGTCTATTACTCCTCCAAGAAAGAGCACTTTCTGTCGTGGAGGAAATCCAGTGACAGCTAACCATCTGTGTAAGTCTTGATACCTAAAGTGTTTTTGAATGCTGCTGTACAGTATCAAAAGGCACAAAGCGTAAGAAAGTCTTTATGCAAAAACAGATAAAACTTGCATCGCATATCAAAAGTAAGTCATTGTTCATCTCAAGAATCAGAAATTGCTTTGGAAGCTATATCAAGGTAGCCAACCGCAAAAGTCAAATATGACTCATAGCTAATTTTTTTCCAGAGGTATCATCCTTGGCTCTTTCAAGAAGTGTATACCATAATGCATTTTGTGTCCACGACTACAATACCGCTCACATTTTTTGAAAAATAGACGCGATTGTATGGACATGTATGGACATGTCCGTACATGTCCATACATGTCCATACATTCGCGTCTATTTTTCAAAAAATGTGAGCGGTATTGTACCTCTCCCGGTCAAAAGGTCCGCTGGCTTCATAAAAAAGGACGGGCATCTTTTTTCTCATAGAAAACTAGCTTGTGTTTTTTCACGATCGTAACCGAGCAGCCCTGTTACTTATGGAAAGAATTTTGAAACATACTGTCCGCGAATATCTCCTATCACGGTGATTGGAGCTCTCAGCGTAAGCATCGTATCTTCTCCTTCGAAAAAGTCCTTAAAGTTGATAGTGTTGAAATATGGAAGACGTGGCAGTATTTCTCCAAATTCCATATCCTAATAAAGGGGAGAAATAACTTTCATTTACATCGGAAACCGCACAAAAAGGCATTAAGAGCGCATAAAAATTCTTGCCATCAGGGAAAAGTTTATAAATCATGGACTGAGTTGTTATATTTATACAGAAATTTCAGTGAGGTCCTTATTTATAAAAGGGTGTAGATTTTAAGGCGTTCCTAAGATTTTTTGCAACCCTTGTAACTTTAATCTCCATTTTTAGCATTACTGCCTTCATTGAAGGATTCCTTTTTAAGACATTATGACTGACCAAATTTTCTTGCGATTTGTAACTGACCGCAGCTTGCGATAGTAGAGAGACGAGCTCGAAAGGTGTCCAGTCATAAACATACGGTCCATTTTCGACAAGGTGCGTCATAACGTAAGTTTCATAGCTCGCAATCATTGTTCGATCAACCTATAATTGCAAATGCTGGGCAAACGCAAATTTTCATATTCAGTTTTCTGTTTTTTTTTCAAATTCTCATTCCTAATAGCTTCAAAGGTGTGTAAAAGATTATTCAATGGCTCAGATATATTGTTCTCATAACTACCCTAATTCACGCGTACAATGCGCACCTTTTTCGATTTTTCAATCACATCCCTCAGCCGCTCCAGAGTATTTCGGAAAGCGATCCCTATGCCGTACGATTCTCTTAAGCAATATACAGCACGGCATAGGGTCCTTTGGTTGCAAAGTTCTTTGGCGTATTTGGGCTAGTCAATTTTGGAAAAAAATCCCCCGCACCTTGTACGCGTGAAATTACGGTAATATTATTCGGAATTCATTGAAAGTTTACTTTAGGTTGGCTAATAAGTAAATTCGATCGCTTTGCGCCTTTTATAAATGCTGGAAATGATTTTGTTCAGTCTTTGTTATCTTTAGAAAAGAGCGTTTCAATACGAATAGAGTCCAGATTCTGTTTGAGTACAATCTATTCTTACAAAAGGCAAGGGAATGAAAAACCTCAATTTTCTCGTTATGCGCTGTGAGAAAACTCCGTTTTTCTTGAAGAATTTCAAAATTAGATCACAATCTCTTCCGTTATTTGCTAGACAGAGGATATTTATAAGTATTCCAACCAGATAATATTTCTACTTCCATTATAGCACGAGAAACTTAGAAAGTCAAGGGACTGAGATTTCGTGAATGAATCATAAATTTGTGATAGTAGAAGCATTGACCTATTTACTCAGACAATTCACCGGAACTTCCGCAGGACAAGCAGAACTTGCAGCGTTTCCGCAGCGCTTTCTTAACCATTGAGAAAGTGCACGCTCCAAAATGCGAGGTTTCCGCAGGAAATTGACGTCACAGCGACCGTAAACCGGAACTTCCGCAGCACTGTCCATAAAGCGCTGCGAAAGTGCAGTGAGGCCGGTAAGGTTTCCGCAGCACTTTGACCTGCCAGCATTTCCGCAGTATTTTGAGAGCGCATGCATTCGCGATTGCGAAATAGCGAACGAAACATCAACAGGCATAACGCACTCTTTTCTTCCATACTATTTCGCTTCTGTTCCTCCTCTTTTCTTTCTCCTTTTTCTTACTTTCTTTGATTAAGAAAAGGCGGCGGCGTAAGTAAACCCATATTCATCCATATTCTAAGTATTCTTGCAGGCATTGGTGCAGGTGCGTGAACAACTATCACCAAGCTGCTGGACTGCTGGAAAAGGACTCAAAAGAGGGACTTCATTCATTCATTCACATTCATTCAAGCACAACGCCCTTGTTCAAGTATGTCGAACTTCTTTACTTTGCTTGGATTTAAATACGCAAGTAATTTGAAACTATTATTTTGTAGAAAATATGAACTGGATCTAAATAAAGCAGAAGTGATTAAGTAGAAATATATCAAAACAAAGTGGGGGGGGGGAGGGGAGAGTCACCGAAATTTTCAAAGTGACCTACAAGCTCTTGGTGAATACTGAAATATTTTCAGAAATTTTCATATTCAAAGTATTAGGTGGGACCAAAAGTACGTTCGCCAGTTTTTCAAAAATCATAACTTCCTTTCGACTCGATGGATCTCTTTGCGTATATCCATTTAAGGGAGGAAATCATATTCTTTACAGCAATACTTTTGCCATAAATTGGAACAAAAAAGTTCGAAAGCTAGAAGCAATTGAAGAAAATTACTCAAAATTGGCATTTTTCAAGCAAAGTCACCAAGAAATTCTGAAAGTATTTTTAGATAGAGAAAGCTATGCTCTTTACTATAGTGCCTTTTCCAAAAACAAAAAAGATTGGGAATTAGAGGCAAATAAAGAGAATTACTTCAGCTTTGCAATTTTTGAGCATGCTTCAAAAATGCCCGAAAACGTCACAGAAAAGACGAAAAAGTCATGTGAACATGGGTTTAGTGAACTTCTCTTTTTTAGTTGAGAGAAATTCATGCCTATCGAGAGCAATTTTGATTTTCGTAATATTACCGAGTTTTCGGATCTGATTTACGAAAACCAAAATTTCTTTCGATCGGCACGAATTTCTCTCAGCTAGAAAGAGGTCACAAAACCCATGTTCATGACTGTCCCGTCTTTTCTGTGACGTTTTTGGGCATTTTGAGCATGCTCAAAAATTGCAAAACTGAAGTAATTCTCTTTATTTGCTTCTAATTCTCAATCTTTTTTATTTTTGGAAAAGGCACTATAGTAAAGAACATAATTCTTTCTATTGAGAAATGCTTCCAGAATTTTTTGGTGATCCTGCTTGAAAAATGCCAATTTTGAGTAATTTTCTTCAATTGCTTCTAACTTTCGAACTTTTTTATGCCAAATCATGGCAAAATACTGCTGTAAAGAGAATGATTTGCTTTCTTAGATGAATATAAACGCAAAGAGATCGAGTCGAAAGTAATTATGAGTTTTTGAAAAAATGGCGAACGTACTTGGTCCCACCTAATAATTGTGGACAATTTTCGAAGGAGCTGTGCTAAAAATCGAAGTAGTACAAAAATTGTAACCGCAAAAATTCAACCATTCCTGAATTTTCTTTTGCTGCAAGTGGCCACACGCCCACGAACCCAAAAGTTTCAATCCCGCCCTCCCCTCCCTTGAAAAATTTCTCGCGTTACCACTGCTTTTCGTGTGTCTATCCTTCTCTACTCCTTTCTGCTTTTGATTTTCAAATTTTTTCCCTCTCAAAATACCGCACACATCACAAAATAATGATTTTTATTTTAAAAAAAGAATTCGAAATTTACGATTTGAAATAATACGAGAAATTCAAAATGAAAATTTTGAAAAATAGCGTTGAATGATTAAATAAAATAGAAATAATGTGGTAGAAATATATCAAAAGAAAGGGGCGGGGCATAATGGGTCTCAAGAATATTCATAGTAGTCTGCGACCGTAGATAATGAAAGATCAAAGCTCTTCTTAACTTTCAAGTAGTTTGTTTAGGCAATTCTCGTAGGTATGGCTCACTCCACGCCCCTTTTTGTCAAAAAAATCGAGGGCGTACAAAAACTGGGACCACGAAAGTTCAACCATTCCTAAATTTCCCTTTGTTCAATGGCTCACGCCCACCCAAATAATTTTTTGTCCCCCCCCCCCCTTGAAAAAGTTTCTCGCACCGCCACTGCTTCAATGTATCTATCCTTCTCTACTCCTCTGTTTTTGTTGTTTTAAAGGCTTTTCTCTCTCTCAAATACTTCCTACATCTTCAACGGTTCCGCGCATGTTTATTTTCGAATTCGTGTTTCCATTAGTACCTACATGAAGTACTTCATAATGGAAGCAAGCTCAAGAGATAGAAGCCGGAAAAGAAAATTACCCCATTCTCAAAATTCCTGCGTTTGGTCGCAAAACTGAAACTCGCAACGGAAATCGGAGCATTATAGGTTTTATAGCCTGCTGTTTCTGACTGTGCCAAGTTTGCGCTGATAAATCTCTTTATGAAAAGTTAGAATTTTCGAAGCAAATGCCAAAAAATCATTACTCTTTTTACGGCTTCCTCAAAAACCATAACTTTTTAAGAGACGTTCAATCAGCGCAATATTTGTACACTCAACGAGAGTAGGTAATAATAGCTATGATACGCATTGCTCCGATTTTCTGCAAGCAGATTTTTGCGACCAAGCATGGGGAATATCAAAATGGGGTAATTTTCTTTAACGACTTCGATCTCTGGAGCTATTAAAAAGTGCCTCAGGTACCATTAGAAAGCATGCCTTCTTTCAAAATAAACATGTGCAGATCGGATGTGAAGGAAGAAAGTTTCGAATTTCTGAAAGGATGTGGACGAGCCTTTGGTTCACTAGTATTAAATATTTTCTGAGTATTAATTCATGGAAATCCAACAATAATTTATAGTAACTTTCACTTACACATACCTGCTTTAGAGGCTGACACATACCTGTTCTGTGTGGAATATGCTGGAATATTAGAATGAACAATAGGTTGCTCCATGTTTGAAAATTTCAAAAAAAAATTCAAGTCGAAGTAAACCTTGACTTTTTCAGAAAACTGTTGTCATTTTCAAATCTGTCTCTTGTCAGAGCTTCTCTTGTTGAGATTTCGAAATTTCCCACAATTTTAAATAAATCGTCCAAATTTGCTCCGTATTTCTTGGCGAAGAAATTGCAAAATGGAACACTTGCGGCAAGGCACGATTACATCAACAAATTTCAATCAGTTCTCATTACAGAAAGGAAAGGAGGTCGAAGCCGGCTTCAGTCGCGCGGACAGTCAAAATACACCCGATAGATGGAAACGGTTTATTTCCCCACAGGACCATCTTCCCTTTGAAGCACATATTATCCTTTGTGAATGAGATTGTTATTCTTGTTTTTATCTTATTCTTCCATTATTCTTTACGCTTCCATCAGTATAACATTGCTTTTTAATTCCTAATAATGCCGATTTTTTTCAACCTTATTCACTTACATGCATATATACTCAAATGCTTCTGTGATTTTATGTATACTTATTTATGAACACTTCACTTTAATTTGCAATTATCAACTTCGGCCTATCTCGCTGTCTACGTCTTTTAGAATCTAGAAAGTCTAGAAGAACTTCCACATCAAAGGAATAATGCCTTAGTAAAAAGCGAAAACCTAGTACTGGAAAGGAAAACCTAGTATCAAAAAGGAAGCTTGATATGGAAGAAACGGATCGCGAATCAAAAGCGAAAACCGCAAAGTGCTGCGGAACTCCAAACAAAGTACTGCGGAAATCCTGTACCCTGAGATTGCAGGGTTTCCGCAGCGCTTTCGCAGGATTTCCGCCGGGTCACCTGCGGAAATCCTGCGAAAGCGCTGCGGAACTTCCGGTCGGTTGTCTGAGTACCTTCAAAGATACACGACAATAAAAAAAAGTTTTCATGGAGGTTTGCATGCCACCCCAAACTTATTTTTTAGTCAGCCTAATAATTTTTCCAAATTTCAAAGATAAACACAAGACTGTCGTCATATTGCAAATATCAATTTGTCCCATAAATCTTTTCATATTCGGACCATCATCGATATTTTTGAAGAACTAGGGCATTTGGTAGGCCGAAATTTGTGGTAGTATTCTTGAGTGAATAAGCTGTATAACCATATCTGCGGGAAACAGGAACAGATGATACAGGCAAAGTTTGAAAATTGAGCGCATTGTTGTTTTCTTGGTTTCTAGCCATCAAATGCAGCAAGTGCTATAAATGTCCGATGAGGGGAGTATATGCATGACAAGGTGGGAATTTTGCAGAGTTGTTTTTGTAGAGTTGTTTTGAACTAAGATATGATTATTTTCGTTTTCTCGGAAATTCGGAAATTTTTTTATTTTGGCTTAAAACTTGTCGCGAATTGAGCTTAGTGCGGACTTTTCAACGCTTTCTTGTAGAGCTTGCTTTGATCTGTCGAATGGTACCCCGCATTCTATTAGGAGTTCAAGAAGAACTGATTTATGTCGCTGATAATTTATGTATGAAAAGACTTATGGGACAACGTAATATTCACATGGCTTGCAGTATGACAGATGTATGGAAGATAAACATTCTTCTTACTTTTATTAAGTTTTGCTCATTATTTATTGATACTACCCAAGAAACTTACCTTCACCAGATCGTGACCATTCCCTCCTGCTACCAGCTCGAATTGGTTATAGGAAGGAAACGCTTTAGACGATATCTCAACGCAATCTTTTCTGAATTTAATCGTAATCTCGAGTCATATGTAACGGTATGGGAGTCTGCACACTATACGCGGCAACCGACGATTTTACAAGTGAATTCTCAGAACCTTTCCCAGCGTATCAAATTGAGAAATATGTGCTATAGCTTATAGATATTCAATCAAGTCGAAAAACGAGGGAAACAAGGAGGTATCAAAGAAAATAAGCAGGTTTCAATTGAAGAAGTCGTCAACTAGCGCGCATTTTGTGCAATACAATAACAAGTTGCAAATGACTTGACGATATGTGGTATCGTCCCTTTCCCCACTCTATGGCGGGCGGAGCTTTGCCGACGTTTGCCAACCTATGCGCGTGGCAGTTTTTGGCAGCTAGAGAGTAAAAAAAGTAATGCTTTAGAGTGGGTTCAACAAGTTTTTTAAACGTGTCCAAATGTCTGCAGGGCCACGCCCGCTATACGCATGGGAATCGCCTATACTTCTTCAACTTTCACAACCTTATACGTAATTCCATGTTTGTCAGCTCGTGGCAGAGTTCCTTAAAGTTCAGTTGTCCTGTGACTGGCTTCGCTACCTTTCGCTTCTTCAACAAGGGCTGTTTTATCCTCAATGAAATAAAGATTCCACAGAACTGACCATCTTCATTGCAGGTACATTCTCTTCCTGATCTATCCCTTTTTCCAGAGGTTGATTGAGTACGGCGTAGAGTTTTCGCTCTTTTTTCTTTTCATTAATCATGATTCTGAACTCTTGCAATTCTTCGACTGATTTTTTTTGGCTGGATCAAACCTACACAAAAGGCCACAAAGCTACCGATGTAATAACTACCAACTCTAGATAGATGACAAAATAATCGAAGTATATCTGATCAACGTTCTCCTGCGACAGTATAAGAGTTAGAAGATACAGCAAATATATATATATATATACATATATATATATATATATATATATATATATATATATATATATATATACAGGGTGTCCCAAAAAAATGTGCCTACTGTTTGGTTGTAAATAACTCTCTTGTAACGAAGTGTTTCGAGATGCTTTAGGCACCGTTTTGTAGAGCGAGGTTGAACTTAGATTTACAGTATGTAGCGGATCATCTATCGCTCTTCATTACTGTAGGATTACGGTAAGAACTTCCAGCATATGGAACCATTGTAAAATATACCACCTGACAAAATTTTTTTCAAAAAATCTGAAAAATCGTGTACTAGGGTTTTCGCGCATGCTGATTCCACCTAACAACTTTTTACGAGTGTTTTCAGCTTTTTTGACGGTGTAATTACATTTCTGGCAAATGCTGGGAATTGAGTTATTACGATTTACCGGGGTTAACTTAGGAAAGAAGCATCATAGCAAAATGGGAATTTCAAATTCGAAATCAGCGGCTCCCATTACCGTAGTGTAAGAGTTTCTGGCTTGTTTGGTTTCGTTCCAAGGCAGAGTGTAGCCTCCAAAGGCCTAAAATCTTTGTCGAAGTTCCTACCGTAATTCTACAGTAATGAAGAGCGATAGATGGTTCGCTCCATACTGTATAACTAAGTTTAACCTCGCTCTACAGAACGGTACCTAAAGCTTCTCGAAACACTTCATTCCAAAAAAGTTATTTATATTCAAACAGTAGGCACATTTTTTTGGGACACCCTGTATATATATATATATATATATATATATATATATATATATATATATATGACTGTCACCGTTTTTTGGAGAGATCCACGCAGTGGACATCAATTTAGAAGCTGCGTGAATTGAGAGCTTCATGGTTCTTAGTATATGAATTAGTTACCCACCCTTTGCGAAAGAAACTTCGCCAGCAGTGGTTTCAACTTTTTACGTTTATTACAAAAATCTGTTTGGCAGCAATATTTGACGTAAGTGTAGTTTTGTGACTTGTATCTGGAATCATCACAAATAATAAGCACTCGTGACAAATGAACGAAATATCCATTTTGGTTGAGATACGTATAATCTTAAAGGGCATTGAACGCTGATTTCATGTGTCTTCCTTGTCCGCGGAACTCCTCTGTGTGTGGACTTATGAGCATTGTGTGGGTCGAAAAACTGAACGTTTGATCAGAAAATCAGTGGTTACAGCCTTTCCTGCCTTCCCAGGGGGGGGGGGGGGGGGGTGAAAGCAGGAAATTACCTGTTCAAAGAGGTTTAAGTCTCCAGTGTTGAATTTTGAACACACGAGAGATCAAATGATTTTCTGCTGACTGCGCTTTCGAACTTCTGCTAAAAAAAGCTCTTACAAGTCTTTGTCCGGAGGGGTACCGCAGGTAAGGAAGAAGATTTAGATTCAGCGCTCGATGCCTTGTAAAATGTCATGCATCTTCTAGGAAGGCCGACGAAGAATCCTTCCTTGTAAAAAGCATCTCAGGATTTCTCATACTTGATTGGTCTTTGGAAGGTTGAAAGTAGAAAAAACATTTTTTAGCAAAATTACATTCTACAATTGTTGGGGAGTGATGTGTATATATGTAATATTTGTTTTGTATCGTTTATCCTTGTTTTATGTTGTGTTTCGATCCCTAGTACCTTGTTATGTTAGATTCAAACTCTTTCCCACGAGGTTCCCGCCTGTTCTTATAAAGCTTTCCTAGGTGCCTGGTACCGAGTGATACGTTCTCAGAGGCGTGTGTATATATAGGTAGCATAACCAATTGATGATTCATTCGCATTCATTCACTATTCTCGGTCAGCTAATAAACCACTAAATATTCCACTGTGTCCGGTTCAACCCAAGGAAATCAAGGACTACAACAACTGGCGATCAGACGATAGGACTCGCGTGGATAGGACGAAGATTGCTGAATCGAACGAATCGGACAAGGACTTCTTCGTGGAAGGATGGCGACCACTTCGAGCACTTCACTGGAGGAAATGTCCGCTCAGCTGATGCAGCAGAACGCTGTACTAATGAGAGCGAACCAGGAGCTTTTGAAACGCCTGGAACATCCCGCTGCTCCTGCGACGTTGACTGACTACTCAGCATTCTCGGCAAGACTAACGTTCTTCAGCTACGATCCTGAAAACGGATGCACCTTCGAAAACTGGCTATCCAGATTCGAAGAAATAGTACCTTCAACATCAATGCCCGAAAAGGACCGATGCGCTCTGCTGTCTACGAAACTAGACAACGCCGCTCATGCCAAGCTGAGAGGACACCTTGCACCGAGATCTCCACTAGAGCTCTCGTTCGAAGAATTAACGAAAGTGCTGACATCGCTGTTCGGCGAAAGAACAAAGCTGTTTCGACGCCGATGGAATTGCCTCCACGTCGTGAAAGATCCCTCAGAGGACATCGAATCGTACGCTGTACGGCTCAATAAGATGCTAGTCGATGCCAAAGAGGACGAAATGAAAGGAGAACCACTGAAATGTCTTCTTTTCGTCATGGGATTGCAATCTCCATGCGATTCGCCAATAGCCCGACTACTGAGCAAGCTGGACTCCGAGGCCGATACATACAAGCTGCAGGACTTGATCGCCGACTACAACGCATATCAGTCTGTGCAGAAGGATGCTGCCCTCATTGGATCCGTATCGCCTGCGTCTGTCCAAGCTGGAATCGTCGCTCCTGTCCGGAAGAAGAAGCAACGCCGACCACTGCCGCAACGTGCCGGACGCTCATCCGATAGCAAGGACACGCCTGGACGTTCTCGCCGTGATGACGTGTGCTACACCTGTGGAAATAAAGGACACTGGGCCAACAACTGCCTGTCAAGGAACCGACCGGTCCGCCGTTCCCTGAAGAAAGTTGTAAAGCTGAACGTGCTGAACTCCCACCGTCGTTACGTTGATGTCAAGCTGAAGGACTTGGACGTGAGAATGCAACTCGACACCGGTGCCGACGTATCGACAATCAGCCGTAGGACGTGGATGGAACTAGGATCGCCAGCTCTGAAGGCCCCGCCTGCGGAATTGAGAGCTGCAAATGGATCGCTGATCGAAGTGTTTGGAGTTCACGAGATGCCGTTCACATGCAATGGATTCGATGGCAATGGATTATTTTATGTCACCAAGGACCTGTGTTTGCTGGGAATGGACATGCTTCAACAGCTGCCGCCCTTTTAGAACGCTTTCTCTGCCGTTTGCTGTGTCGTGGATGCCTCTTCGCCACTGGACGAACGCCTCGCAGTTGAGTTTCCAGAAGTCTTCAAGGATGAGCTGGGACATGTCAACAGATTCAAAGCTTACCTTGTGCTGAAGAATGATGCCACGCCCGTCTAGGTGCCGAAACGAAAAGTGCCGTTTGCCGTAGAGCCTCTCGTCAATGCAGAATTAGACCGCCTCGTCACTACTGGAGTACTTTCACCAGTCAGCTACTCATAATGGGCCGCTCCCATCGTTCCAGTCAAGAAGAGGAATGGAGCAGTGCGCATATGTGCCGACTATTCTACCGGGCTGAACGACGCGTTGGAGCTGAACAGACACCCGCTGCCCACTGCTGAGGAAGTCTTTACCAAGCTGAATGAAGGAACGATCTTTACGAAGATCGATCTGCGTGACGCTTACCTGCAAGTGGAAATGGACGAAGAAAGCAAGGAGTTGCTGACCATTAACACGTCGAGAGAACTTTTCCGCTACAACCGCCTACCGTTTGGTGTGAAGAGTGCTCCAGGAATCTTCCAATCGCTGATGAGCAATGTCACTGCCGACATCAACGGAGCAATTGCTTACTTGGACGATGTTGTGGTCACCGGAAGGACTCGTGAGGAACACGACGCAAACGTCTTTAAGCTATTCCAACGCCTTCAAGACTACGGAATGCGTGTTCGCCGTGAGAAGTGTCATTTTGCTAAACCCAGCATATTTCTCGGATTCATCGTCGATGCGGAAGGAAGACGCCCTGATCCTGAGAGAGTTGCTGCCATCGCCCATATGCCGCCGCCCCAAAATGTGAAGCAGCTCGAATCGTACCTTGGGATGGTTTCGTTCTACTCGTCTTTCGTGCCCAGGATGCGTTCCCTTCGCGGACCATTGAATGCCTTAAAGAGGAAAGACACACCGTTTGTCTGGAGTAAGGAGTGCCAGGAAGCCTTCGACCGCCTTCGCGAAGTCCTGACCTCGGATCTTCTGCTGTGCCACCACGACTCGAAGAAACCGATCATCGTTGCCGCTGACGCAAGCAACTATGGAATCGGAGCCGTGATCTCTCACCGCTACCCGGATGGATCGGAGCAGGCTGTATGCCATGCAAGTCGTGCCTTGACTGCCACAGAGAAGAACTACTCGCAGATTGAGAAGGAGGGATAGGCCCTAGTTTTTGCCGTCAAGAAATTTCACCGATATATCTATGGACGAAGGTTCACTCTGCTGACGGACCACCGCCCTCTACTCACTATCTTCGGGAGCAAGAAAGGAGTGCCAGCCTACACCGCTAACCGTTTACAACGATGGTCAATGACGCTGCTTGCCTATGATTTTGACATCAAGTACTGCTCCACGACATCATTTGGACAGGCCGATGCTCTCTCCCGGCTGCATTCCTGCCGAAGTGCGCCGGACGAAGACGTCATCATCGCTACAGTAGAAGCTGATGTCACCGCCACTTACGAGGAAACACTTGATCAGCTTGTCTCAAAATTTCAAAGGTTCGACCTTCTTTGAATCTTGGCATGGTAATCCGATATTGATTTGACCAGCTGCCAGTTACCGTGGAAGACGTACGCGCTGCCATGAAAAAGGACGTCGTGTTGTTGGAGTTGATCGACTGCCTCCAGACCAGAGGTGCGATAGGTGGAGCCGGGCCCTCCAAAAGTGAAGGTGGTTCCAGCTACCACTGGCCGGCCAAAAGTGAAGGTGGTAGTGCCGGACACTCACCTCCCAAAAACATCGACCGGGAGCAGGGGGGGGGAGAGAGGTTGGGGGGTGGGGGGAGCGTTAACGTCGACTGAGCCTATCCTCTAGGTCGTTGCCGCCAGTGCGCGGAAAATAAGCAAAACAAATGCAAAAGAGATCATTGAAAACATATTTTTTTGTATACAGCGGCATAAATATCTAAAATAAAGTGCTTATCAAATGGTGTATTTAGGAGTAAAACTCAGCGGAACCGTGCGGACTTTATTAAGTAAGTTTTGTTATAACGTACAGCGAAAAAAGTAGGTTGATCAAGGCAGTAACCACCGAGAACCAGAATTTCGAATAACAAATGAACGTAAAATTATGCAAAATTTTCACTGTTATAAATCTGGTGGTTGAAGACGTGAGCAACTGCGACCTCATAGATTTTGAAGGGCAAATATTGTTCTACTTGACAGTGAAAGAAATAGGTCGATTTAAGCAGTGGCCGCCGAGAACGAGAATTTTAAAAAATTAAGCGATTTTAGGTTACTTGATGACAGTTGAAGTTTAGACTCCTATATATCTGTGAAGGTACACAATGTCGCCACTTTATAGGTTTTGTAGAGTAAGAATTGCTTTATCAGAATTTATCTTATCCTTACCGATCCATCGAGATACCGCCGAAATTCAGGCTCTCAAAAAGACGGGTAAAAAACCGCTTTTTGAACTTCAACAGCTCATAACTTCTTCAGAATTGCATGAGTTATGTTGCGACTTCAAAGTTTAGATTCTCCTTTTCAAGAGCTTTCAGATGATATATAACATGTGGGGGGTTCAATGATTTTTGCGGCTCTAACCCAAGGTGGAGCTTTTTACCCCAAAGCCTCCACTAGCGGTCTCTGGCCAATACATTAACATGGGCGAGGTGGAGACTTTGGGGTAAAAAGTCTCCACCTCGCCAGTTCAATGATTTTTGCGGCTGTAACCCAGGGTGACATCCGCAAAAATCATTGAACTCCCCACAAGTTATATATCATCTGAAAGCTTTTGAAAAGGAGAATCCAACCTATCAAGTCGCTACATGAATCATGCAATTCTGAAGAAGTTATGAGCTCTTGAATTTCAAAAAACGGTTTTTTACCTGTTTTTTAAGAGCCTGGATCTCGGCGGTATCTTGATGGATCGGTAAGGCTAAGACATAATCCGATAGAATTCTTACTCTACAAAACCTATGAAGTCGCAACATTGTGTACCTTCATATTCCAGATTTATAGGAGTCTAAAGTCAGCTGTCACTGATTAACGTAAAATCGCTTAATTTTTTGAAATTCTCGTTCTCGGCGGCCACTGCTCAGATCGACCTAGTTTTTTCACTATCTGGTAGAATTACACCTGCCCTTCAAAACCTATAAAGTCGCATTTGCTGACATCTTCGGCCACAGATTTATAACAGTGGAAATTTCGCATGATTTTTTCGCTATTTTACCTAGATCGGCCTACTACATAGATATATGCTCTCAATATTTTCTTTTGCATTCCTTTGCTTATTTCCCTTCTTTTAAGCTTCAACAAAAAATTTTTCCAAACCAAAAAGTGAAGGTGGTCACCTCGTACCAGCTCAAAAGTGAAGGTAGGCGGAGACTCGGCTCCGACTATCGCACCTCTGCTCCAGACAGGACACTGGCCAAGAGCGCTTCCCAGAACGCCGTTGTTCAACTACAGGAGTCAGCAAAAAGAACTCTCCACCTACAACGGATGTATCTTCTTTGGATCCAGGATCGTCGTACCAACCCCACTGAGGAAGAAGGTCTTGCGAATGCTACACGATGGACACCCTGGACAAACCCGGCTGAAGCTGCTTACCGGCAACTACGTCTACTGGCCTGGTATCGAAGAAGACGTCAAGAAGACTGTGGAATGCTGTCGGAATTGTCAACTTGCCGCTAAGAATCCCGTGAAAGCTGAATTGACTCCATGGCCGATTGCAACTCGCCCGATGGAACGTTTGCATATCGACTTTGCTGGACCGCTCTACGGACACATGTACCTTGTCGTCGTGGATGCGTACTCCCGCTGGCCCGAAATCGTAGAAATGCAAACGACGACGTCACCAGCTACCACGCAGGAACTTCTGAATATCTTCAGCAGGTTTGGATTCCCAGAAACGCTCGTTTCGGACAACGGCACACATCTGCAGGAAGTACAGGATCAAGCACATTCGGACTCCGCTGTTCCATCCGGTCGAATGGACTTGCTGAACGCTTCGTCGGAATTTTCAAGAGAGGATTTCTAGAGCTGAAAGGAGAAGGGAACCTTCCGGAAGCGCTGTCAAAGCTACTGCTATGTTACCGCTGTACGCCCTGCCCGTCTTCGCCTGATAATCTTTCGCCCGCAGAGATGTTTCTGGGACGGAAAATGAATACACCACTCTCAAGTTTGGTCACTAACGCTAGAACTGCCACACCAAGCTGCTCTCCCGGATCGAAACCCGCGATGGAAGCTCAGTACAATCGTCATCATGGAGCCAAGCAGAAGCCATTCGAAGTCTACGATGCCGTCTACGCTCGCGACTATCGCAATCCATCGAACTACTTGGACTCCAGGACGTGTACGATCAAGGATTGGGCGCTCACTATACAACGTCGAAGTTGAAGGATTTGTATGGAGACGACATGCCAACCAGCTGCGTCCTCGTGCTGTTCCCGATGCCACCCGCATGCTGTTGGACGAATTCGACCTTCTAGACTTCGACCTTCCCAGAACATCGACTTCCGCCGTGAACGTGGATATTCCCGCATCCGCTGCACAGGAAGCTAATACCATCGAGGAGACGCCGCCAACTCTTGATGTCGAGCCTAGGGACGCCGAGGACTTCATCACTCCACCATCACCGTCGCGTGCTCACGTCGCTCGCAGAGGACCCACCACCCACCACACCGTCTCGAAGTGGATCCGTCGAAAAAACGATACAATTAGAAACTTAAAGGGGGAGATGTTGGGGAGTGATGTGTATACATGTAATATTTGTTTTGTATCGTTTATCCTTGTTTTATGTTGTGTTTCGATCCCTAGTACCTTGTTATGTTAGATTCAAACTCTTTCCCACGAGGTTCCCGCCTGTTCTCATAGAGCTCTCCTAGATGCCTGGTACCGAGTGGTACGTTCTCAGAGGCGTGTGTATATATATAGGTAGCATAACCAATTGATGATTCATTCGCATTCATTCGCTATTCTCGGTCAGCTAATAAACTACTAAGTATTCCACTGTGTCCGGTTCAACCCAAGGAAGTCAAGGACTACAACAACAATCATGCATATGCGTATGCAATTATGCATACAATTATACGATTATGCAGCGAACTTTGCAAGCACGTTCGAAGCGACAAAAATAGGAGAGTTTACAAGAAAATTTGAATACTTACACTTTCAAATTTGGATAGGGGACTTTCACGTCTGTGCACATATTAACTGCAGATTCAGCATACTTAGAAAATTGCTGGCAGTGATAAGTTCGTTCCAAGTAAGAGCTAGATACTTTTCTGGAATTACTCAGTTGACATAAGTATTCAATCTCCACTTTCAGTTCTTCAAAATCAAACAACTCACCCTAGTAACCAGGTAGACTAAGGCCGCATGCATTAACATCCCCGCCGGGAAAGGGATAGCAGCTTCAAAAAAAATCTTCATACCCTGAAGCTCCAGATATCTGAGTTTCACGCTGTCTACCTATCCGTAAGTATTCCAACCATCCTTCACTATGATCTTGAAAGAGAGCAAGAAGCTGTGCAAGCCGCACTTTCCAGCTTTTTATATGGTCTCCTTGTAATCCCGTTCCGAACGTCTCTTCTTCAAAGTCATTTTTCTTTCTTCGAAGTTAACGAAAACTTTCCAAAGTTTTACTGATTATCTAACCAATCAGTGCTAAGCGTGTCGCTGATGAATACATGAGTTTTTGGAATGTCGATTTTTTTCGATAAACCCCAACTTTCGACTTGCGATTCATCGCAAATTCCATGACTTCGAATCTCACTTGTTTTTACCAGAAACATGATTAGCACTGTTGGCTCAGATAAACAACACAACTTTGAAATGTTTTTAATGACCACAAAAAATTAAGATGACTTTAAAGAAGGTGTTCGGCAGCAAGGCATCATCAGGGGATAAAACAAAAAGGTGAAAACTTCTTGCCCCGTTCAAGATGTAGTGAAGGATGGTGAGAGTATTACGGATAGGTAGACAGTCCAGATATCTGGAGCTTAACTATAGCTTTCTTTTGAGTGGCGGCCACCTTCCCGGGGAGGATGTTTACGCATGCGGCCCTAATAGTGAGGAATGTCACTGAAGCCCGAATGCAAGTATTAGGTTGGCGCATAAGTTTTGCAACTTTTTCCATAACTTCCTTTTTACTAAGTGTAGCACTCCCATTTTTTGGCACCGAGTAGAGTGTAACGTGAGCTGCAAGCTTGTGCAAACTGTTTGATTTATGAAAACATAGTAAAAAAATTCAAGCATTCCTCGGAAAACCTTGAAAATAGAGGTTTCACGGTTTTTTGGCAAACACGAAGCCATACAAAACGTAAATTGAACATATCATAAAGGAATCACACGAAGCATATAGCTACAAGTTGACATATTAGAATCACTCAAAAAAGAACTGAAATTCAAAGACAAACTAAGATAAGGCGCCTTATAGAAGTAAAACAAGTCAAATGCGTCTAGTTTTTATTTATTTATTTATTTATTTATTGTTTACACGAAAAGTGTGCCCAAAAAAAACTTGAAAAAAAAATTCTCGAAACAACGATCTCAAAAACAAAAACATCAACACAAGATATGCATAGTAACATTTGCTCTTGATCTTCAGTTCGTCTTCCGTCGGGCTATACGTCGTTCTCCTTCTTAGGAAGGCGAGGGTTCCTTGTCAAGATCCTACGCCCATACCTAGACGCGAATAAGGCTAATATTTACACCAGGGCGATGTCAACTTTACCCAGGCGGATGAATTCGCCAGGGACCCTGGGCGTGAAGGAAGGGGGGACCTCAAGGCCAAGGCCTAGACTCGCCAACTTTCAAAATCCTTAAACGGCTACTCGTGCGGGAAGACGCGAGTGTATAGCTTGTTGTGTTAAAGAGCAAAAATAGGTATAGTAATCTAGTGACTTAGCAAAATTCTTCAGATTTGTCAAACTTGTCAAACTTGTCTACAGCAGAAGAGGAAATCGAAGCATTAAGCTAAAATGTGCTGCTGTATTAGAGCGCTAACTTCAAACGTCAGAGATTCCTAAAGACGACAGAACATTGATTTTGGCTAATTTTTTGCGGAATTCTGCGGACGTTCTAGAGGAGGTTATCTCTCTGGGAAGAAGCTCAAGCCACCTTGCGGTGCGGCATATGAAAGAATTAAATGCGAGAAAGAGTTTTCTGTTTCCCAGTCTCCTATATCCCAGACCAAATCCACCCGATCGACTTCCACAAGGTCTAAAAGATCAGTATTTACTGGGCCTTAATCTGGTTTCCAATCTTATGATGCGGAAGCAGAAAATTAGGTCATTACATATTCGTCTGTACTTCAAGCTCCGTAGCTTCAATGCGGTAAGCCTTGCCTCATACGAGGGCAAGGACTGGGGATAATCAGCATTTGGGTAGCATCTGTAGTACACAATTCTTGTAAAAGTTTTTTGCACTTTTTCAAGTTTTTCAATGTTTTTCTTCAAGTGTGGATTTCACACTGGAGATGCATACTCTAGATGCGGCAAGACGTAAGCTTTATAAAGTCTGACAAGAAGTTTGGGGTCATTGCTATGGGTGCTCCTCAGTATAACAAAAAGAACCGACAGAGCTTTTCTGGTAAGCGCTTCGTAATGATGTGTGAAGCTAAGCTGATCATCAATAAGAATACCTAAATCTTTAGTGTTGTCACAGATTTCCAGGTAAATGCCATCACACTGGTAAGTGCAGGGCCGAGAGTTGCCAAGATGCAAAACCTTCGATTTGAGCGCATTGACGGGTATATCCCAACTTTTAGACCAGAGGATCATTTTAGCTATCGAACTTGAAATTGCTTCGCGCGCTTCCATCCGTTTTTCATCATAACAGAAGTATATTTTGATATCGTCTGCAAAGACTTGGATCCTAATTTCCGAATGAGCTTTTAGAAACGATGGCAGTTCTGCTGTATACGTAAGAAAGAGTAGTGGAGAAAGTATACCACCTTGAGGTACAGCTACAAGAAAATCGTTCTGAGTAAGTGTTCCCAACGCGCACTGTCATCCCTCTGTTGTACAAATAAGATGAGAACCAGGAAAGTAATTGCCCACGAATACCGTATGTTTCGAGTTTTGAAAGTAATTTTGAGTGGTTTACTCTATCAAAGGCCTTGGAGAGATCAAAAAAGACGATATCTACAGAATTACCATGGTTTATAGCATTTATCCAGTCGTAGACCGAATCACAGAGTAATGCCGTGGTTGAACCTCCACGGAGGAAGCCATGCTGCACCGAAGGTATGATCTTGTGCTTATCTAACCACTCAAGAATCTCTCATTGACAATTTTTTCGAGGATTTTACCAGAGGGGGCCGTGATACTAATCGGGCGGAAATTGGAAACTAAACTGAGGTGTTCGCGTTTGGGTATGGCAGTAACCAGCGCTTCTTTCCAAATTTGTGGCACCTGGCCGAGTAGAAAAGAAGCATTAAAAATGAAAGACAACGGAGTGGTGAGGGCCCGGGCACATTTTCGGTAAATAATTTGTGGAAGCCCATCATATGCCGCGGAAGTCGTTGGTTTCAATTTCGTTAGGACCTCGTAAATTTTGTAAGGATCAACAAAAAACTCTGTGCATCCTTCGCTTATTTCAAGCAAATGTGTATAAGGAGCGGGACTTCTTACATCAGCAGAATCGTTTGTTGATGTGAAAAAGCCGGAAAAGTGTTTTCCTAAAACCTCTGCCTTTTCCTTGTCACTGAAGCATGTATTCCCTTGTTCATCCGTCAAGAAACTAAGCTTTAGTTGCCCCTTGGTCCTCAATCTAAAATATTTATAGAGCTCTTTTGATTGTTGCTTTGAAAGACGTTTTTCGCGGTTGGCTAAATATTTCTTGATATGATGGCTAATATCCTTACATACCTTTCTATAAAGTTGATTATTCAAGGCGTCAGGTAATCTTGCAAAAAGATTAGTTTTTTGTTCTAAGAGGTTTCTGATGTGGGTAGGATAATTTACTGTTTGGGGAGGTTCAAACCGGAAAGGGACATGCTTGGCAAGGATATCATACAGCACCCTACAATAGCGATGATAAAGGTCGTCAATCAATTCGTAATTCGCAAAGACGTCATACCAGCTGATTTTTTGTAGATCATTATTGATTTTGGCAAAGTCTGCTTTTCGGAAATTGGGATACGGCAGAAACGCGCTTTTTCTTGGGTTAAATTAGCCTCGAAACTTATAGTATTGTGGTCTGAGGAGCCAAAAGGAGGCAGTATTTTAACATTGTGAACTACCCTTCCTGTTGAAAATACCAAATCAATTGCTGAATTTCCCCTAGTGGGAACGGACACATTTTGATGGAGGTTGATGTCGCGAAAGAAGGAGATAAGCCGAATATTAGCGCGAGTGGCAGGAGATAGAACATCTATATTGAGATCACCCAGAACTATGGTATTAAATGGGAGGGAGCATAGATCATGTAGAATATTAGCCAAAGGAAGATCATCACTGCTTGTAGAATTCGGTGGCCGGTAAACGACGATAAATCTCAAAGGCGAGAAAAAAGAGGATGACCATATGTTAAGACAAAGGATGTCAGAATTGAGTATAACGGAGACTTGTACATGCTCTACGGCTAGATCCTCCTTCACTAGGCAACATACGCCACCACCTTTACGGCCAACTCGGTCTGTGCGATGGATAGTGTAAGGGAGATGGGATAATATTTCGGAATTACTAATTTTAGCAGTGAGCCAGGATTCAGTAATACATAAGATGTCGGGAGAATAGAAACAAGGAAAAGTGTGCAAAAGGAAAATTTTATTGACTAAACTACATGCATTAAAAAGCAAACAAAAAAGGGGTGCAGAGTTTTGAGGCCTGTTTAGAAGTTTTCCTGGCTACGCTTAGCAAGTTCTGACGTGTGCCGAAGCTCCCCTTTATATACTACCCATTCTTTAGTAGCCTTCCCTTTGTTTCTTCCCCTTGCGATCTGCCTTAATTCAAATTTGAGGGCAATCTGTCGATAACTACGCTGCGAAATCTCAGACCTCGCTAAATCTTTGCACAATAAGGTAATCCGACGGTGTGAACATGAATATGATATTCATTTGCTGCTAAGATAAAATTTATTTTTTGACCTCATGAAAGAGGCGTTCTTGTGCGAAACGGATCTCATTTTTGTGACCAGCATATTGATTACCCCCATAGCCCAAACTTTAGCAAAATTCGACGCGATCTAAAAAGTTTTCCATCATACCGTAGATACCATAGCTCTTACATAAGATGGCAGAATTTGACAAAAATGTTTGCATTTGCAGTGCATCACAATCCTTATCTTGCCAAAAAATGAATGCGGTAAGTTTAAAAAGACGAAAGCTATATAAAAAGTTGCATCACTTATATGCCAACCTAATATATCCCCGCTGGGGAGGGAACGGAGCTAGGAGGGACGCCTAAGGCTGGGTTTATAGTGATCCGGAAGTTCTGGAACAGTCCAGCAGTTTTGTGCTTGAACTGTGCTGTATGCCTTGCAGCCGTATGCATGCGATTTTCAGCAGCGGGAGTTAGAGATTTTTGACCGTTTTCAACGGATTTTCTTTCAGGTTTCCTCATTTCGGTCTCATTCCTCTACTTCTCCTTGTTAGAAAAAAGTTGCGATTCTGAAGCGTGGTTAAAAAATGAACGTTGTTCTGCTTCATGTTTTTGGAACATACACGTGGAACAGAACAGCGTACTTTCCTTAACCCGTTTCATGTTCGCAGCTTTTCTCATTACAAGGAAAAACGGGATAGAAGAAAGAACGGATGAGCAATGATATGTAAAACGGAAAGGGGCTGAGAATGTCCAAAAGTGAAACAACTCATCAGAAAACTAGAAAAAAGTCCCAATTTTGCCCTAGCTCAAGAAAGATGCCTGGAGAACTACGCAGCGATTTTCTGGAACGTATGAAGTAGGTTAAACAAAGATAATGAAGGGAAAATGTAAGAGCGCAGGAGACCACATCTAGTCCTGATACATAGAAGCAGAACTGCGCTCATTGTCCAACCCCGCTTCAAGTTCAACTTTTTTCATTGCAAGGACCCCGCTTCAAGTTCAACTTTTTTCATTGCAAGGAGAGTCGGGTTAGAGCAATGAGACTGAAATGAGCGAAATCTGAAGGAGAACCCGTTAAAACGGTCAAGACTCTCTAAATTATAATACCCCCTTTATTAGCAACCCATGAGCTTTACCATTTTCCCGAAATTATATAAGAACTCTATTAGATTTGTTACTTGGATACGACTCGAAAGTGAGAGCAAATGTAAAGTCAATCTTGCCTTTTTCTCCCACTCCGTCCCATATTTAATCGCCTGTTCGTATTTCATGTTTGAGGTGGTGCATCGTTTACGATGTATTTAATAAATAAATAAATAAATAAATAAATAAATAAATAATAGGCAAAAAGAACATTACAGTGGATTCCAAAAGCTTCGACCACCTCCACGTGACAGAATACCGAAGCGATGGTGTGACGTCTCTTGCCCGCATAAACCAGCTGCGTTATTGGAATCTAATTCAGGACCGTGCAGCAATTGCAGACGTGTGCCAAGACGCTCATGGATGAATTGTCAGAAACCGCAACGAATGGTCAAAATTAAGACTCGCACGGCCAGTAAGAACGGGCCATCTAAGTAATTTAAGTAAAGTATTTGCTTTTATCAGAAACATGTATAGCTCTGTCAGATAATGAGTACAACTTCGAGACGTTATAAATGACTTGAAAGGACAAATTGAGAATAAAAAACGGTCGGCAGACCGGGATCATCAGGGAATCACACAAAAATCTGAAAATGCGTCTTGTACAATTTCTCACTTCCGTTTCATATATTTGCAGTGAAGGGTAGTAAACACACTCGAATATGATACGTGGTGTGAAATCAGAACTTCGAAAATTTAGGCGTCGTAGCCGGACAAATATTGCCATAGCACCACATCTGAAGGCTGTTGCATCGATATAACTGCTATCACCTTCGCTATATCATCTCCATTCCTGTGATCGGACGGAGTGTGCCGATCTGACTGGCACTTCTCCGGCGCACTGTAGCGCACTGTGGCGCTCTCTGCTAAAGTGCGGCGACTTTTTGACGTTATGAGCGGTATTGTAGATATCTTTATTGCCCAGACATCGTCCAACAATACTGCATCTTACCAAGGCGACAACATTCACCTAAGGCAACGTCAACGTACATTAGCCTAACACTATGATTGTCACTGAATTTTCATTTGATGCCTATACCTCGACTGCTCTTTCACCTAACGCCAACGAGAATTTGGGTTGCTTTCAAAATCTTACAAAACTGTTTCATACCGTATCTTCTCCGCTTTTTACAGCTCCTAGAAAATTTCTATTGATAGCGCAGTCTTGCTCCAAGCTACATCTGTACGTCTAAAATTCAACTATTGTTATAATTCACCCTCGCGTTTCTTCTGCCTACGAGCGTCTGCGTTTTATATTATTGTGGATTTTGCGACTTTAACATGCCAGGAACTATTTTTCAACTTGTCGCATGGGAAAAAATGAGCTTAGTGGGAATGATCCCCTCGACAGTCGAAGGGATACCTCTGGCGGGCAAATGGCGCGAGTCTGCCACTTCGCGGTCTGGAGCGCTCCGGAGCCCTGCCATTTCACCCATTTTGGTGCTCCGGGGCTCTCTCAAACCTGGCGCACCTCCGGAGCGGAGACTTGCGCGTCTCGGAGAGGAGTCCCATTCGCCTGCTTGTAAGTCACCGTGACTCACCGTGACGTCATGTTGAACGAATGGGACCCCTCTCCGGGACGCGCAAATCTCTGCTCCGGATTTGCGCCAGTTTTGGGAAAGCCCCGAAGCAGCAAAATGCGTGAAATGGCAGGGCTCCGGAGCGCTCCAGAGTGCGAAGTGGCAGACTCGCGCCATTTGTCCGCCGAAGGTATCCTTCGACTGTCTGAGCCGTCGAAGCAAGATCGCCGGATCAAGGAGCACTACAAGGCTTTCCATCCAGAGGCATTTTTTATCCAATTTGACGTCAAAGGGCACATTTCAGGAATTCTGCGAACACAAAAAGAGACCGTCTCTAAATTTCTATGTCAAGTCGTGTTAGTCGGCATTGACTCACCTATCTCTACTATATTTTTCTCGCATCACACAGACTCCTTTACAGTTACCCTTATCAAATTCGCCAATGTAGCACTGCAGGGTGGCATGGTTTTTCTGAATATGAATAAGTCAGATGCTGTCATAAGAATCACACTTATTTTTAGGCCTAAGGCACACTTTCCACGATTTCGTCAGATCGCTACAATCATGCATTTTAGTGATTTGACAAATGCCTAAATGCATAGGCGCGTGCCTTCTGTACAGGCTTATCAAATTGAGTGTCGTTTGCACCAGCATCTCCATCTTCTCAGACAATCGGTGCCGTAGCTCCGGAGGACAGTCGAAATCTGGCAGAGCTGCGGAGGACCCAAATGACCATTGAGAGCGGGGCGAGGGGGCGGTCCCTTTCTGTGACGTCACGGTGACGTCACAAGAAGGCAGATGGGACCCCTTCGGCGAGCTTGCAAATCTCTGCTCCGGAGGTAGCCAGATTTGGGAGAGCCCCGGAGCACAGATTTGTGCACCGGAGGTACGCCAGATTTGGGACACCTCCGGAGCAGAAAATGGGAGGGCTCCGGAGCACAAATGGGAGGTCTCCGGAGCACAAAACGGAAGGTCTTCGGGACATAGAATGGGAGGGCTTCAGAACAGAGATTTGCGCTCCGGAAATACGCCAGATTTGGGACTCCGGAGCACAATAGGTACGCAGCCAATTTGCTGTGATACGCAGCTTATCATTTGGAAAATAAGCTGCCGTCGCTCTCGACCCCCCTTCGTTTTTCCACGTTCTTTTCCGTTCCGTGCTGCTCTACAGGCTTTTGGCATGTACGTCGTTCAGTTCCTTCTTTTCAGGTTTCAGTAGGTTTTCGTGCGGATGCACTCAGTCACTTTTAATGCTTGGCTCTTTTCGACTTGCTGAGACATCATTGACTATTGATGGAGTGGTTTTTGTGGTATCTAATCTTGGATTTTCAAAATAAAAAGTTTATAAACAGAAAATTCGTGTTGAGTCACTATTAGTATGTCCGATATCTAAAGCTAGTGCTATGCAACGTGCTGGTCGCGCTGGTCGTACTAAGCCTGGTTAGCTTTTCGGTCCTAATCGTTCTCACATTGGGAAACTTTGCATTTTAGGAAAGCGTTTGCGGAGATCCCCTTATTTCTCTACATGCTCATGAGCTTTCTGAAGTACCAGTCTTCCAGAATCTCACGTACGAAAAAGTCTGCCTTGCACATCATGACCAGGTATTGTGATGCTTCCTCAGCTTTTCCTGTGGCCGTATTCATCAACGAACCCCGAGAGTTAAACTAACCCTAGAGGGTTAATTTAACCCTGGAAAGCGTTTAACCCGTATTCATGAAACACAGGGTAGGCTTAACCCTGAGGGTTAAATCTAACCTTGAGGGTTAATTTTACCCCGAAAGCGACTAACCCGTATTCATCAACGAATCGTGAGGGTTAAACTAACCCTTGAGGGTTAAACTTACGTGATTCATCAGGGTTAATTTAACCCTAGCTTAGAGCAGGGTTAACTCTACCCTAACATTTCATACAAACATTTACTCGCATTTGATAGTTTTATGGAAAACGATCGACGAGTGTTGTAGTATTTAGTGTTAGTTGTTGTTATAGTATTTAGTTTCGACTTCGTTTTATGTTCAAATTCAAAGTACACATAAAATACTGACTTTGCGAGAAAAAGAATTCTAGTTTTGGTGACAAATGAATGCAACGAGGAAAAATGGTTGCGCATTCCACTCTAACGAGTGCCAAAGCAGAATAATTCCTTTATGATAACACGCACTGACCCTTAAAAGAGTAGTACAAGCCCGGTATGAAACGCTTTGCGCAAGAGTAGAACTTACACGGCACAATTGCACTCATGAAAATAAACTTACGCTGTAAGATTGGATGCTGCGCGAATATGCTAGAGACGTATTATAAAAACCAGTGTTAGAAGCTCATTCGTTGATTATACTACTATAACAATGAAAGAGTAGAAGTATAAAGTGAATTTAGCACTTACTAGGCATTCCGTTATGTGAGTTTGCACAGCGCACGCGTAACTGACGCCTTAACCCTCCAGGGTTAATTTAACCCTCAGGGTTCGGAATACGGCTACAGGTCCGCTGATCGATAAGGGTGGATTGCGTTCCGTGGTGAACCCTACCCTATGTTTGATGAATACGGCCAATGAACCCTGAGGGTTAAACTTACCCCCAGGGTTAGTTTAACCCTCAGGGTTCGTTGATGAATACGTCCACTGATCTTTCGTTTCTAGGACTTTCTTTTTGTTCGAGTGTATCAGGCTATTACTCTGACAAAGTCATACAAGCTGGAGCGAATCACTTTTACTTTTTATCATCCATCGTACTGCTTCCGTCACTCCTTTCAACTCTAGCATTAGGAGCAGGTGAGGTGGGGATTGCTATGATTTTGGTAGGTTATACATGACGTTGGAACAAAGTCATTTTAGCTGCGGATATGTGAAGCATCAAAGTCCCACTGCTAATTCGTTTCTCGGGTTGATCCTTTGCACAACAAACTACATCGTTCAAACTGTTTACATGAGCTTGTCAGTATATATGCTGCTCATAAGCGACGCTCCATTTGGCATCTGTGGCGGATATATTTCAGTTCTTTGTGTTTTTTTTTCTGTTGGAGTGCTTATGTTAACGTGAGTTAATTAAGGCACTCACCTCTGTAGACTACTCGTCATACGATATGTTGTACCATTCATTCTTTGATTAAGAGACGCGAGCGAGCTTTGCGTACATTTCATTAACAAGTTCATGAATGAGTCTCAACGCGTTTGATCGATTTACTATTAGATTTCGTGGAAGAACATCTTTGAGCTCGTAGAACCACGTTGATTTGAACACTTTCTTCTACGTATTCCTGATATTAAATAGCCAAAACTCGTTAAAACTCATCCATGAACTTGTTGATCAAACATACGCAAAGCGTGCTCGCGTCTCTTAGTCGGAGGATGAATGATATATGTTGTATATGTTGTAGCATATGAAACACCAGTAGTCGCAGAAGCTGTATTGCTTGCGTCCTCAAATGAACTATAGTACTTCCTCATATGAATCCTTTAGTCACAATCCTCAGTTATGGCGTAAAAACAAAATCCACTACTCGTCGCAGTATTAGAATAGCTGGTCTCGAAGGTGCTATTGGTCTTGGAGGTACTCCTACCTCCAAGACCAATAGCATTAGGATATGCCGTTTCTGGCACAGTCCGAGAGCAAGCATCTATTCTGAACTTCGCCTCTTAGCTTGTTTTTTATTTCTGGCATACGGATTAAATGGTAAGCGGGCCTCTTGAGTAGTTCACGTGATCCTTTTATGACACGTAAAAAGCTAAAACGCATCGATTAAGAGTTTACAGCATCAGCTCAAAATGTTCCTGTCTTCAATCCTACAAAAAAGCGGAGACACGGGGTCAGATAGGGGAGAGTGAAGGAGGAAAGGGCAGGTAGCCGGTTTTCGACTCGCTGTTTTCTCAGATAATCGTTTTCGTAGGAAAATGTACAAGCAGAGCGACAGTACGTATGGCATGATTACTATACGCTCAACTGCATCTATTCAATACTTGCAGCCGTCGTGGAGTAAACGTGATGATACCTATGTACAGAAGCGAACTCAAGCTCAACGCAATGTCTAACAAAAGTTTGTTTTACAATTTGCAGTAGATTGTTTGCAGTCAACTTGAAAAAAAATGTCTTGTTTCTTCATTCTTCTATCTTCTATCTACAAAAGTGGGAGGGAGGGGGTAGAGAACGGGATGGAGGGTCGTGCTGAATTCCTACCCGGGGGGGGCGTACCCGGCGGTCGTATGCCACACCGTTTGCTCGACCCTGGTGTAGAGCTAATTTGTGTGAGGTTTAGGGGCATAATTGGGGTTCGGAGCTTGATTAGGGCTAGTTACAGTATGCCGCGGGGGACATCCGGGGCGCAAAATGGGAGGGCTCCGGAGCACAAAATGGGAGGATTCCGGCACAAATGGGAGGTCTTCGGAGCACAAAATGGAAGGGCTGCACGAGTGGCAGACCCCCGCTGGGGAAACCCCGCGGCTCTGCCATTTCTGCTCCGGAAGTATGCCGTCGATTGTCTGAGTTTGCGCTGGACTCTGCGTCTCTTCTGGGTACATGCTCCCTAATCACTTCCAATCGATTGAGGCTCCGCCTTCCCCTCGCTCGTTCTGGGAAAGTGCTCAGAGAGCAGCCCCGCAGAAGAGACGCAGAGTCCAGCGCGAAGATGGAGATGCTGGTGCAAACGACACTCAATTTGATAAGCCCTATATGTCATGATGGTCATGCAATGACTGTCACGTCGGGAGATGTGACCCACATGGTAGTGGCGCGAATTTTGTTGAGATGACTTATTTAGAATTTTATTCATTTCAGAAGTTCTCTTACGCCTTGACCCTAGAAATGACTTTCCTGCGCTTTTGAGAAATAGTGTACTTTATAGTGTATATACGATCTTAGTGAATCTAGCTGGAAATTTCTCCTTTTTCTCGGAATGGATTGTCACCACCAAACAGACAATCAAAATGCGCGATGTTGCCAACGTGTTAATCTCGAGCTTTAATGTGAATGCATCAGCCACATTTTTGTGCGTCTTTGTGCATATCTAGATATGTCGCGATGCCTTTTCATAACCGTGTGAAATCTGCGCTTTTAATTCATTCAATTCTTTGCCCTAACTGTGTGAAATCTGCGCTTTAAACTCACTCAAGAATGTGTATGCCTCTGTCCAAAACACCGAGCTAAGTTAGGTGTCCTCCTTTATTAACGCTTATTGCAACCTGCGTTATCTCACGATGTCTTCGATCAAGTCTGTTGGTTTTAGTGTTTCCGTTGTTTTTTCTTCTCTTTTTCCGGCTTGATTGGATAAATAATATACTCCACTGTAGGTTTTGTTAGGGAAGCTTCCACTGGCAAGGAAGTTGAGTATCGTTTACAGCTCGCAGTGTGTAGGTTCCCATATGAAATTGTGTACATTTTACTCAAGCATATTAGCCAGCTACTGGGTGTGTCAAAGGTAATTAATACACTTTTCAATCAAAAACTCTCTTTCCCCAAAGTTTTTGCTTAGCATCAAG